TACCTTTTAGAAATTTAATAATTCATATGCATGTATGATAATGTCTAGCCGTTTTCATCTTAGGTTTCCACACCACAACAGATTTCCAATCTCAAAGTACAGGTTGCAGCTATATGTCCAAATAATCACCATTATTACATTTGACATTAGGAAAAGTCTTCCTAAGTCTTCTACTATTTGTTGTTTTCTTAAAGGGATTCCATATATTTAGGATAAAATTTTAGGATTTGTAAATCTCAGTTTGGGGGGTATTCTATCATCCTCAAGAGCCTCTTATTTTCCAATTTATCAAAGTGAATTCATACTTTCAAAATTCCATTTGTATAATTGATTGATATTTTTTGCTCTCTAAGTTCATCCTTAAATATTTTTAAATTCTTTTTCAAATCAATATAGGATGTTTTTAAAGATTCTCATGATTTTTTATTCAGATTCATCATATTTCAAGTAATTCATGATGATGTATCTATTAAAGCATGATTTTCATAAGATTTCATATTCTTTCTTAAGTTCTTCAATTATAGACTTACATAGCATGGCAACTTTTTTATTTTCCTATATGCATCATGCATGGTTCAGAAACTTCAATAATTCATCGTAACTTAAGTCACATACCTCTTTCTTGATCTGTTTGATCTTGCTATCGCCATCAAGCAAGGTTGGTGACTTCTTCTTCCTTTTCAGTCTCTGATGAATCTGAAGTTGAGCTCGCCCAAAAAGTTTTGAAACTTTTCTTCCCCTTCTTTACAATTGGTTTCTCCTCTACCTTTCTTTGCTAAGTGGCTTTGATTTTTGAGCAATCAGTCTTGAATGACTGATTTTCGCATTCATAACAATCACTTCATTAAAAACCTTGCCATTTCTGTGTATTTACCTCTATTCATTGCTGGCGTCTCTTCTGCTTCTTTTCAGAAAGCTTCTGAATTGTCTAGTCATCAAAGCAATTATCATCTTCATCTCAGGTTCTGAGTGTTACATCTCTAGACTCTTCCTTTTAGTGCTATATTCTTCTCCTTTCGTGGTTCACTTGCATCATCTTTCTTTGACTAACCTTGCTCGTAAGCAATGAGTGAACAGAAGATTGTCAATAAAAGTAAATGTTTAGATCTTTAGACTCTATAATTAATATTTTAGCATCATAAGTAGTAGGTAAATAAGAATCTATTTATCCATTTTAGCATTAGTTAATTCCCTAGCAAGTGCATGCAAAGAAGTGACAATTTGTATGATCTTATGTACATGTCAGAAATAGATTATTTGGATTCATGCGAAACAATTCATAATCATGTAACAAGATATTAAGTCTTGATTGCTTACCTCATTAGTCCCTTCATAAGTTATACAAAGTCTATCACTATGTCCTTTCATTATTTGCAAGTGGAAACCCATATGTAGTCTTCAGATTTTAAAGGCACAAAAGAAGCTATTTAAACATTTAGCATTTAGTTGAGCTAACTCAAGTTCTTTTATAGTCCAATTATGCAAAAGGTGTTTCTACCCTAACTCCATCAACTAATCTATTGGTTTTTGTATTAACCTTCCTGGACTAGGATCCACATTCGATAATCAATGTGACTGTAAGAAGTAGCATGCGAGGTTTTCCAAAAATTAATAAGGTTATTTGTCAAACAGTGGAGGTCTAGTAATATAGTAACCTCAGGTGTATTTCAGTTTCTAAAAGTAGCCATCTATCGTTAATCAAAAAGTAGTTTAAACATATGATTTTTGAACGGAGCTCTGATATCACTTGTTGAGTCTAGTGAATAGGTTGTTAGACTAACTTAATGTCCGAAGGATACCAGGAGGGAGGTGATTGGAAGTTAAAAATTTTCCCTCTTTTGATAATTTTAATCGAATATTAAACTTTAATGATAATTTTTTATAAAAAGTTTTTCAACCACATTCTTTAAAACACTAAAGTAAATGCGAATAAAAAGAGTAAAAATAAAAAGACCACGATTTTTAGTGTGGGTCTAAACCAGACCTACATCCACTTCCCAGAGGCACCCTTTGAGTATTCGCTCTAATACCAATAGTGTCTCTCTTTTGCACCCACGCAAGAGGAGAAGCCTTTACAAACACTCTTTTCACCACTATCCGGTGCGGCAGAGACGTCGTCTTTTACATATCCCAGTGTTGGTAGAGAACCGTCGCCGTCTTTTACACTCTCCTAGTGTCAGCAGAGAACCGGATCTCCTTGACAGATCTTCTCACAAGAAATCTAGAAAGAAGGAAGAAAAGAGTGAAGTAATCCCAAATCACAAGTAGAGATTTTTACCTTTAAACACCAAGTGAAGCCTTCATGCTCCAGTAGTAGGAATCCTCCTTTGAATGCTCTCTCACACTCTCTCCTTGACTTTTCTTTCAATAGGCACGAAGATCAAATGACAAAAAGATTGGGTGGCAGTCTAATTTGAACTATATATATAAAAGACAAGAACCATCGCCCAAAAACTGCAAGTTTTCAATTCTGTACGCAGTGGATCGTCTCGTACGATCGTGGATCGTCCTGGACGATTTTACTTAAAGTGCCGGAAACGAACCTAATGTATATTGGTACGAATTATGTTCGTACACGCTCATCGTCCCGTACGAACTATGTTCGTCCGATACGAAATGATTATTTCATAGGTCGGTTTCCAAAAATTCTACAAGATGTAACCAACTAGCGTAAGTTAGTTCAGTTTGTCCTTGGATGAACAAGTTTCATCCTGGGATAATTTTAAACATAGAGTTTCATCCAGGGACGAAAATATATTTCGTCCTGTACGATCTCATCCAGAGAGTTTAGTCCTTGTACGAACCTTATTTTTCGTTTGGATGAACATTACGAGTGAGAATCCCGAGAGTTTCGTTTCGAGATGAATATTAAATTCGTCCTAGATGAATAGGACATAGAAAATTTTCTCCTTGCATGTTCAATCAATTGCTCTTCTGAGGGGCTAATTGACATGATTGTCCCGTACGAACAAGGTTCGTCCCGTACGATCAATTCACAAAAATTGTCCCCTAAGAGTGTGTGTTGTGATTTTTTCACTCAATTACAATCACTCCCTTTCGTGTAAAAAAATATGATTTACAAATGAATAGTTTGAAGTCTTCATCGCTTGGAGTTGATTTTCCTGAAATGTTAAGACACACTAGAGCAAAAAATAAAACTTTCAAAAACTGTTAGGAGATATATAAAAACAATAATATTTGAAATCCTCAAAATAATATAAGTTGCAAGAATATAAAACATGCAAATAGCAACTCTCTCTACACTGATAAGGAACGGCTGATGGCAGATTTCACTAAAGAAGAATTGGAGAATGTTATATCACACTTGGAGAGCAATATTTCACCTGGTATGGATGGTATCTCCTACTCTTTTTTTTAAATACTATTGGCCTATCATTAAATCTGATGTTTGGAAGGCTATTTGCCATTTTTTTAAATCCGGATTGATGTGTGATGAATGGAGAGAAACAAATGTGGTTCTTATTCCTAAAATAAAAAATCCTTTAACTCCTTCTAATTATAGACCTATTAGTCTATGCAATTCTATCTATAAGATAGTGGCAAGGATGTTATTGAATATGATTATCAATATTTTTCCAAAGATTATTTCAGAAAATCAAGTAGCTTTTATCTAAGGAAGATCCATTTCAGAGAATATTTTTCTCACTCAAGAAATATTTCATAAATTTAGAAACTCAAAAGCTAAGAAAGGGTTGATGGCCATTAAGGTGGACATGGAGCAAGCATACGACAGTATGGGATGGAACACCTTGAAAAATGTTTTGGAACTTTTTTGTTTTCCAAGGTCTTTTGCTAATCTCTTAATCCAATGTGTGGTGGACACCAAGTATTCTATTAATGTTAATGGTAGAAATACTAATTGGATTCAAGCGGAATGTGGATTTAGGCAGGGATGCCCTCTATCCCCTTATTTTTTTATCATGTGCTCTCAGATTCTCACCGAAGCATTCAATAGAGATGGAGCTGAAATAGGAGTGAAGGTGGCACTGAATGTAGAAAAAGTTTCACATCTTCAATATGCAGATGATATCATTATTTTTGTGGAAGCTAACAGGAGAAATATTATTAAATTCAAGAAGATCCTTAAGAAGTACAGCAGTTGGACAGGGCAGAATATGAATAAACAGAAATCTTCCTTGATTTTCGGTAAAGCTGTACACAAAGATAAGTTCAGAATTCTGTCCAAATTAATTGGATTCAAAGCTGTTAGTGAATTGAATTATCTCGGCATCAAGATGGCTATGAGAAGGCTTAGAGCTTCTGATTTCAAAGATGTATTAGAAAAAGCTTTTGATAAACTTAACGTTTGGGGTAATCTATCTCTCACTTTAGATGGTAAAATTCAGTTGATTAAAATGGCACTTCTAACCATTCCTATTTTCATATCTACACATTCCCTTGTGCCAATGGGGGTGTTAAGAGACCTTGAAAAGTTGTGTAGAGATTTTCTCTGGTTGAAACAGAACAAGAGCAAAGGAATACACTATGTGGAATGGAAAACACTTTGTAAGCAGATTAAATTTAGAGGGCAAGGTGTTGTGTCGGCTACGGATAAAGTTGGTTCGTGGAGAGCCAAATTTGCTTGGAATTTGTTATCAAAATCCTCATCTTTATTGAACAGAATTATCATCGCAAAATATGGGAAAAATTTCTGTTTTTCTGAAGCTAAAGTTGGTTGTTCACCAACTTGGAAAATTATAAATTCTGAAGGCAAAATTCTGCAACAAGTTATTAGATGGAAGGTTTTTAATGGTGAGCACATCAACACTACTAAGGATATTTGGAACCTCGACAAGTGTTTAGATAAATGGCCTACGTTTGTATCCAACTTACATGAAGATCAATGTTGTTTAAAGTATTTTCTTAAAGATGGGAACTGGAACATCATTAAACTGTATGAGGCATTCGGTAAAGAGTTAGGAGACTTAATTTCTTTGGTTCCTTCTAATGTTGGAACTCATGAAGATGAAGCATAAATCATGTATAAATATTCTGGAAAATCAATTGCAGCATTAATTTCTGAATATAGCAACTTAAATGAGGAAGAGGACGCTAACTGGAGATGGCTTAAAATGTTGAAGTTGAGGCCAAGAGTTAATATCTTTTGGTGGAGATTAATTCACAAAGCAATTCCAACAAATGATTTCTTAATGTATAGAAGGATTATCAATCATAATGGATGCCCAAGAGGATGTGCTGATGTTGAGGACGCTAGTCATCTAGCTGTTAAATGTTTTTTCATGAATGAGATCATTATTTCTTTAAGAAGCTGGGGTTATGATATCCCTGCTTTCACCAATTTGGAGAGTTGTTTTATTTGGCTTTCTAAGCTATCTAGTTACAATCCTTTTATAGCCAATGTATACTATTCTGCAGTATTTTTCTCCTGGAAGAGCAGAAACAAATGGGTGCATGGGTCGGTTGAAGACAGCATATCATCTATTGCATCAAATGCAGTCAGCTTTGCATCTTTATCCTTCAGCCAAGATCTAATTTCGGTCAACTGGGTTTCTAATCAGCAATTGATGTTTCAAAATACTTGGAAACCCCCTCCAACCGAGTGGATCAAACTAAATGTGGATGCTTCTCTTGATAGAAATTACTCTGCAGAAATTGGTGGAGTAATTAGAGATAACAAAGGTAGATTTTTATTTGCCTTTGGTTTCAAAAGAGTTCACTGGGATATCTCAGCTCTTGAATTGGATGCTTTGATGGCTGTAAAGAAGTTTACTCAAGAATGGATGTATGAAGCTAAAGGTATCATTATAGAAGGGGATAACTACAATGTTATGAAGCACATCCAAGGCATTTTTAAAAAGGGTCCAGCTGTAAGTAACCAATCCGAATTACTTGATTTTTTCTTTCTTAGGAATTTCAATCAAGTCATTTTTCAATTTGTGAAGAGAGGTTGTAATAAGTTAGCTGATTATTGTGCTAACCATGCTAGGTTGGGTGATTATACAAGGAATAACTTGATTATCAATTGCGTTCCTCTCATGTTCTTCAAATTGTTGAAGGAGGAGTGTGATAATCTTAACTTTGTTTAGCTCTTTTTATTTCTTATTCAATAATATTGCTCTTTGCATCTTCTCAAAAAAAAAAAAAAATCGCCATGGGTTTGCCTAGTAATACAAAAAAACCAAAAATATAGATCACTGATAAATTTTATCGTATGTCCAATCAGAATTTGAATAAGCTATTAGTTGTAGTTTGTCAGGAATGATTACAAGAGCAAAGGTGATAATGCCTTGAGATACTGAAAAATACATTTTAACAGCTAGAAATGAATAATTAAGTTCTTGTGCATGTGTTGGTAAAGCTAATTTATATCAAATGCAATATCAGACCTACTTTTGGTTAAATATAATATAGAGAAGTCCAGCTGCCTATAATGTTCAAGTTGATTATATAAAGCAAAAGTTACATCACACGAGGGTAGCTTAGATGGCAAGGGAGTCTAAACTAATTTGCAATCACGCATTCCATCCTTAACAAGAAGCTCAGAGATACACCTGGATTATGTAAGTAGCAACCCATTATCAATGCTAAGAAAGTGATGAACTTGACAAAGAATTCTCATGAGAAATCTATTTTATAAATTCTATAGTAGTTGTTCAATGGCAAGACTATCATTTCAAATAAATATCATCAACATAGACTAGGATGCATATTTTGGTGTAGCCTTTATGAAGAATTAGGAAGGATGATTAGGAGTGCTTATATGAAACCCATAATGTAACAAATGAGAGGAAAAAGTGGAAAACCACTATCTTGGAGTTTTTTTAAGCTCATAAATATCCTTATGAAGTCCATAAACATTGTATAAATCTTTGAATCCAAGGGGTTGCTCCATATAAACAACTTTATCCAATGGACCATAAACAACGACAATTATGTCATCCAGTTAATAAATGGGCCACTTCAAGGTGATGGAAATTATAAAGAGGTGAGAATTTTTGGGAATTAGTAAACAAGACTAAATTTATCATTATAATTAACACCAAATTCTTGTGAATATGATCAAAAGCTATCCATATACCAATAATAACATCTCCTCAATCATGTTGAGCCTCAACTAGTGAATATGATCAAGATGGTTGGCATTAACAATGGGTTTAGGCTATTTATGAAGATAATTTTTTCCTTCCAGCCTTGTACCTTATTCTCCATCTCTACTAACTTCATTTCCACCGATGAAAACTAAAACAAACTTATGATGAAGTGGCTTCACCAAGAAGAAATGTCTAAAGAGGTTCATCGTCCAAGGCCACTTCAACTCACCAAAAATAAAGTAAATGGAACCACCGAAGAAATTAATTTTTGTAAAACCTTTACAAGGATGACTCAATAAAAGTTGAAGATGTCGACTAGCTCATTGCATAGAGGAAGTCACAATCCCCAAGGTGAAGTGGTCAATGGGGACATAATACCCAACATCATAAAAGGTATTTATGCTCTCATCTTCATTGGGAGCATGTACACTGAACCACTCAATGCATGGTAGTATCCAAAATACTCTTTTTATTTGTGCTCACTTGTTCCTTCGATTTATTATCAATTTGAATGAAATCAGTCACACACTTGTGGAAGGAAGCCATCTCAATTGAACATACTCACAAGAAGAAAATCAAGACAAATGGAAGTTAATTCGCATGGGATCCTACTCAATGGATTATAGAAAAAATTATCCTAAACATTACTGAATGCACAACCAAATCTTTATTTAATGCCATGATCTTATTTTCTTTCTTCCATCATTTTCAAAGTGATTTTGGTAGATTTTCCTTACTTGTTTATTGAAAAGTTTACAGTAAGGCATTTCACTCACACTCCCCCAAAGCATTATTCTGGCAAGATACCAAACATCAAAGTTCAAAAAACAATTCTAAGTTTTTATGCAACACTCAAAGCTCACACACGTTGTTGTTGTTGTTGTGACTAAAGCCTAAGTACATATAAGATACTTGCACTCACCATTTATGCAATACTTCATGCAATCAAGAGAAAACAAGAAAATATGGGAAATAAAACTTGCACAAGAATGAATAATCTTATTCCATACATGAATTCACTACATCAAAAAAAGTAAGTGGTATGAGGATATTTTCCACCATGTGCATCGTGCAAATAGGGCCATTTGACATCACTAGTGTTAATCTCCTTACTCCTTCCAAGTACTCCAACATAAAGGAAGCATCGGTTAGGAAGGTATATTGCTTCAATGAGTATATGTTCTACCTGACTTTTACCCTCAAATAGCTAACTGGAATTCTCATCTCAAGGTGGTGCATTCTCATGCCAACGACATGCACCCTCATCTTGGCATTCTCCTTACATTGCTTGGCATTCTCCTTCATCTTCGTAGTGACGCCATCCATAGTCGTTGCCTCTCATGAGCAAGCAAGGGCATCCACTCCATATAGATTTAGCATCTGCTCCACCATTAAGAGTCACATAATAACCTCGTTCAATGTGACATGGTACTAAGGGAGAATGGTGTCTCTAAAGCATATTGAAAACAACAACGTTATGGTCTTGTCCTTGTGAACCTCACAATCACAAAGGTTGAGCTGTGTCATGTCAAAGTGGTTCAATGAATTCATTAGGTTTATAGTAAACTGAATAGTACCTTCTCATGTACTTCCTATTTAAACATGGGTATTAAAAATTAAACTCCATCATTCACTCACCTTCGCTACTCATCTATCAAAGGGTCAAGTGAATCAGGAAACTAAATGTATACCTATATATAACTCTATAGGGATTTAGCATGTACCCATTGGTTCATGATAGAGCAACCCACCCTTCAAGGGGGACCCAATGTAAGAACTCAATTAAGTGATCTTAGGGGAATGACATTCACCAAGCATTCAAAGGATGACACATCCCAACCATATCAATAGGTTTCACCTGCTTAAGCTTGTTGGAGAACTCATTCTAAACTGGAGGATTTTCATATTTCTTACCAAAACAATAAGTTTACACCTACTACATGCTACGCTTCATAATTAATTATTCATTCCATTCCAGATTGATCATCCCTTCATCCAAACTCAACTACAAAAGGTGCCCACTTTAGAAGCCCCTAATTTTCTCTATTATAATCGATAGTTCATTAAGCCAGTCTTGTTTGCAATCCCATATCCCTCACCTTCCCATCTTGGCAATCCAAGGCTCAACATAGGTCAAAAACAGCTGCCATAGTCTCTCTTAATTGGCACTATTGAGCTCACCAAGCTTGTCCACACTATTGCACTCATCTACCACACCTTTAATAGTTTTGAACTTGCCAAAATATAGACCGACAGAACTCCGTGACCTTCACTCTCCCTCTCGATCAAAGGGGAACACATGTGTAGAGCATTATGTAGCATTATATATGTGAACTATGTGGTGTTGCACTTTTTTTACTTTTTCTTCTTATTCAACCTTTCTCGTAGCCTCCATGACCCTATAAATATGGGATCATGAGGAATTATTTGAGTAGGACCATTTTACTTTTTGTTATAGTGGAAACCCTATTAGTTTAAATGATCTAATTTTTTGAATGCTTTCTAAATTCTCTCTCACTCACTGATTATTTTCTTTATTCTCCATTCTCACCAAAGGTCCTACTCAACTGCTCACAAGTCCACCAGCTAGTAATGTCTGGTGTCACCATAGACAAATTCTAGTCAAGCAATATAAAAACAAGAAAATATATATATTTTTTAAAATATGATTTATGTAATACAATATAGGTGCATTTAAAATGTAAATTATTTTTTAATTAATTTTTTATTTATTTAGTATTTTATGAAATAAAATTAGAGTTTCTACAATTATTTTGAAGATAAAATGATAATATTTTTAAGAGATGTGAATTAAATTTTAAAGATAGCTGTGCCAATTATTTTTTCTTTTGAGATATATAACTGAAAAAAAAAAATTCATTATCATAACAATTTTGAAGACAAAACAATAATGTTAACGATATTTATATGAAATATAAAGACTTAACGGACTGTCGAGATCTAAAACTCACTAAGATAATTTATTTTTTAAAAAATCTTGATTACATACATGCAGTGAGATCTTGATATAAATTTTTTTACATGTAATGTCAAATTTAACTTATAAATTTCTCCAAGAAAAGGATGGTTTTATTTTATACTAAAAAATGAATGAAATTAAATGATCATTTTCTTAAATATATTTTTCATCCAAAAACAATCAAATGAGACCTAATAAAAGTGTATTTCATAAATACTAATATTCTATTTTATTAAAGTCAATTCATTCTAGAAAGTTGTATTGATTTTCCGCACAAGCTTGATGAAGGCAATTATTTAGTATATTGCGCACAGCCTAACATTTTAGAAATCTCTTAGTACTCATTTGACACGAGGAGAAATTATTTTGTGGACCGGAAGAACCTTCGAATATGTGAATATCTATATTGTGTATACAGTGTGTATCAAATTTTTATATACACAGTGTACACTCACAATCCGATCGATTCTTTCCATGCAAACTTCGCACAGAATAATTTCTCTAGCACAAGAGAAAGGTTTTTGGTTTGAGGATTATTAGAAAATTAAATTAAAAATTTATTGTAATTAAAAGCGCAATATGTGATTGAAACTCTCAATGTGGAATTTGAAAATCAAGCTCAAGCTAATTGGCTATGCTGAAAAGTTAGTGGATTTGAGTTAGGAGTCCACTGCAACCACTAAGGGCCATGAATAGCCACAAGGACAATGTTATCATTATTGTGAGAATGATTTTTTTTTCTTTTTTCTTTATTTCTATCAAGAATATTTCAAGTGAGCACAAAAGTTTCATAAAATAATATAAAAAAAATTGCCGGATATAATAGACTAAATTATCACTGTTGATTTTTTTTAAATTGAGAGATAAAATATTTTTAATAGATAATGATAAATTTATGTGAAAATAAATCAAATTAGTGACAAT